AGTTTACCTTATCGCGCCATATATGCCCCATATCCCGGAGATAAAGTGGGCGTGGTTGCGCAATTCATCCGGGCATGGCGTAGGATGCGCTTCCCGTGGGGTATTTCCATTCAAGACAAATGTATCCTGCCTTGTGCTGAGTAAATACATCATCACAGTTGTTTACAAAACAATATAACATTCGAGGGATAGCCGCTGTTACGCTCATATACATGAGGTACTTGGTCACGCCCCTCCTTTCAAATCATGTACGTAGTCACGCCCATCTACGGGATATGAAATATTGAGTGGAAAATAGTGGTAGTTTTTAAAAAACTGAGGGTCTTGGACATACGTGTGGACGTGATATCCACGACGACGGGCAAAGGCAGCTTTCAAAGAGTGCCAGCGTGCGTGCCATTGACACTAGGAACTAACTTATTGAAAAAGGAAGCTGTATGTAGAGTCAACACCTGAAACGTGGAATCTTTTTGGTACGCGTTGTCGTTGTATGGGTGTCTCCCGTATTCTGAAGATTAAAATCCTATGCGGCGCTCTCATACGAAGGTTGATAGGTTACTACACCCAAATTGGCACTGAAATAGGTGGCTGAAATATGAACATCAATGGTCGTGCCTCCTAAAGATAAGAGAGAATTTGTGCTGACCGTCAGTGTGTATTGATCATGTCTGGACATCGTTCATACTTTGCGTCAGCGCTCTAGGCGTAGGCAGTGCTTTGACGCCAATGTTTTGAGCTTTTCGAGCGCTGGGAGAGTCTAGGTACTGGTCCAGCGTTTACAGCATGCGCTCAAAGCGCTCGGTCGAAACCTATACTTTCTTGGCTGCGCATACGCTGTCGTACGCTCGAAGCGCTGATGTAACGTATAAACGCGCCTGGAAGGTTTTTGCCATGTACTGAAACTGAATTTTAAGGTATGACGATTGGGTTAGAGTCATGGTTCCACAATTTTTCCCAGTTCATCCAAAGAGCCAGCACACCTGAATCACTGGCTGATATTCCTCGACCGTACCTGGAATACTCTATATGGGGACTGTTCAAAGGAGCAGAAATCACAAGCGTTTTAGGTAGGTGTTTTAGCTATATTATTCTCCCAATTGAAGGGAAATTCATTTTGGCGGCCTTCTGATTATGCAAGGCTAACGGTTTTTTCCCCGGTCCTGTAGGATTCTTTGAGACGAAGGCTGCTCTACCACCACTTTTAATAAGCGGTCCAGCTTACCAGTTTTTTTTTTCTATCTTGTCGCTGTTTTTCACTTCGACTGGCTCCAAACATTTATGTGTTTGACTTCAAAGTATCTCGGATTGCTATCACTCGTCCCCGTTGCCAGAGTATTCAAACTGTAGTAAGAACCGGAAGACGGATAGACCTTGGTGCTCACCAGGTCTTATAACAGGCGCGTGGGCTCGAGTGCTGTCAGGGGGCGTTGTTTGCCAAATTTTTCACTCGGGGTGATCAAGCAGCTGTTCGGAGAGGGCGTTTGGCCCACCCCCCCCACGTTCTCCCTCTCACCATGTGGTCTTGAATCATAAACCACCCGCCTTACAGCGTTTGTGCCCAGCTGCTCTTCTAACGCAACCCTGGTCTGATTCAGGATCCCAGTGGCGTTTGGATGCGAGGCTTGGTCAGAATCAATGAGTTAGTCAGTTGATGGAGAAGTCAGCCTTTCTTTCGCCCGACTTATCGGTGGTGATACAGCAAACTGACTGTAGAGTAATGACAGGCTTGGTAGTCCATAGTGGGATTTTGTTCTAGCTTTTGACCTGAGGGCTCTGCATCTAAAATAAGCACAAAAATCCTAGTGTCATAAGAGTACTGGTTAGACCGCCAAAATTCCGCAACAGTCACGAAAGAAGCCTCGTAAATATTGGTTCGTTGTATAAATATTTAATCATGCATTTTGTCTACTTGTCAGCAGCCAAATTGACGGAGCGTGTCAGTGTTACGTGGATTTTAGCGCGGCGCCAGCTCCTTTTCCAACAGTCGTTGCCATGTGAGGCTACTGGTGGAAAATGAGCTGACGCCGAAATCCAGGTCACAGTGGCACGCCTCGTCGACTCAGTTGTTGACGAGTAAAGTGAATCCGGCATTCTGTACACCTGAATTCGTACTACCTGTTCAGGTGGCCTTGTTGCCCATCCTCTCTATCGTTGGTATCTTCACCGGCAGTTGACTCCTGAAAAAACAACGCCAAATTCCCATAAAATTATAAGGGCTGCATGCAGGCGGTTACAGGTGATCAAGTTTCACTAACATAGAGACTTCATAGCCAACGCGCTTTTGTCACTGTTATGATTTCCAGAGTTTTTCAGGGTCGTTTCCTCCTGGCCGGCTTATTCACAGGACCTATCATTGCAGTATTTCATGCTCAGAGTAAAGGTAACATTTCCAATCTCCAGTTTTTTCTCTTTGGTGTCTAGATATGTCAGCATCCTACAATTTTACGATATCTTTCACTTTCCATATGAAGGTGGTCAGGAAATCCGATCAAAGGCGAGGGCGCGCGCTACATTCCCTGGCATTGTTCGGCTCATGGCGGTAAAACGGGTATTTTGCTGGTTCGCTAGTTTTTTTTGAGCTCTCACCTTGATGACACTCCTAAACGCCTACAAAGCTCTACATATGCCCTTCTGAGGGGCCTGTGAACTCTTATAATTCACGAAATGGTTTCGGGCTTCATTACGCAAGGCTGTTTTAGCTTTACAGGAATTGAAAGCTCTTAACAAGGTGACTTGGCCTGTACAAGCTTCGCTAAATGGCTTCACAGAGCTTTACAGGTCTTCACATCAACGTGAACTCGGTACTGTTCGGCTTGGTAGGGGCACCAAATGGTTCTCAACAAGAGTTGCACAAGCCACCATGTGAGGACCTGTAAGTTCCTGTAACTAAATTGGCTCACTTACACCGTTACGCACGTTCCTGAAGAGTGTACAGGTTCCAACCTCTTAATCAACATGTACTGGCAAAAGAAACTAGCGATGGTGCAAAATGCCCCTCCAAGCCTAGCGTCCATGAAAACCTACAGGAAATTCTTGTCTTGGAATGTGTCTGCCAGAAAGTTCTGGCTCTGTTCCAGAACTATCACTTCTCTTACTTATTATTCTTCTTACTTACTTTATCGAATTATCCTGAATTTTCTAGGTAATGACGCAGTAGTTCGGGATATGTGCTACAAAATCCGCTGTAATTACAGAAGCCTTTCAATGTCAAGATATATCCCAGTAATCTTTTCCGGGTAGGAGTAACGGCGCCAACAGTCTTGTAGGGGGCATTTGAAGGACCCGTCAAGTGAAACTGGGGATGGACCACATCCGTACAGGAGTGTCGTAGTTTAAGTGGTTCACCCACCGAGAAACTCCGTCCCTCATTCAAGTTTAGGCCAGTGCCCTTCACTCCATAAGAAGATTCTTGTTTTTTTTTCGAGGAGCCCTTCAAATGCCCCTTCAAGGTCTCTAGCGCCTTAATGATCCTTGTCTCGCACCTATTGCAGTACTGCTTGTTTCCAGGACCGATTCGTGGCCATGTTTGGATTTGTCGGTTGGTACTGGAAAAGATTTCAAGGAGCGGTCGATGGCATAAACATCGCTATTGCATATGCATTGATCAATTCAAAGGTAGCATTCATTATAGGGGACATGGGAATGGGCGATTCTTTCGTGAGCTAACGAGCTCGTACCGCTCACGTCGCGTGCGGCTGGTCGCGCGACTGGTCACAGTTGCACCGCCTGTCTACAAGAGTTGTTGTCGGAACAAAGGATGCTGTTGTTCACGGCGTAGGTCGAAAGAGTAGCAATGGGATGGATACCTCTGACAACTTGCATGAGCCACGAGACAAGTAGCTCGTACGCAAGGGCTGCGACGTCGTGGGACATCTCTCCCCTACCGCGATCACGATAGAATTGCTAGATACCCGATTGTGGAACCAACTAAAATCTGCGGCGCAGTTCGGCTTTGAGGGGGTATTTCGCTGGTCCTGTCTTCGATCACTACCGATGGTTTCTGTAGAAACCTGTGATTTCACGTAAAGCTGTGCAATAGCAGGAGCCTCGTTCACACCTGACTAGAGTTTACAGGTCTCACCAGAGTGTGACGTAGAAATAATACAAGATTCTAGCAGAATGAACCAGCGAATGCGCAAAAATATTCCTCACAAGCCGTTCAGCCCCAAAACTTCAAGAGTTCTGCTCGCTGAATCAGGTGTTGACCCATATTGCTTGCAGATCATCGCTCCACGAACATCGCCTATTTTCAAAGACCGTGTGCAGCCGCATGAGAGGTACACCTCCCCGGAAGAAGCCATGAGCAATCGATCTCAACTTAAAAAGTTTCTCGCTGAAGAAGAAAAACGGAAAATGTTGGAAAGTGCTAAATAATTCAGATATATTAGAGATTTAGATAAACTTTATTAGCATCTCTAGACAATCTCTATGATACAGCTGTGCCAAAAATGTACATTGTTATGGAAATAACCAAACATCAAAGAATTAATTTATGCCACATAAAGAATCGGGATTGGATAGGATGAAAGGCGGGCGCATTCACCAAGTGCTTAGTCCACGTTGATCATATGGGCGGAGTCGGGCTAAGCACTGCGTCCTCGGTGCCTTCCTCCCTTCGAATAGGATAAAGAAGCGAGGTGGGCAAAAGTCAATAAGGGAGGCGCAACAATGGGGCTGACTCCGTCCATGCGATCAAGGTGGACTTTTTACCTTCAGAAGGAACGTGGCACAAGGCCTGCCTTCGAGCCGAACATCTTTTTTTTCCAAAGAGTATTTTCATTTTTCAACGTGTATCGGCACTCTGGACGCCTAAGGGTCCATTCACATTTGAAAGTTAGGGGAATTACTTGAGACAAGCAGAAAACCGTCCGGACGTCCCGTAACTAATCTGACCCGTGGGTGTCCCCCCCTATCTCGGCATTCATCCGCACCTCTCTCCCTCTCGGTATGGTTTGTAAATGTACATCAACTGAAAATTGCAACTAAATGCAAATGCTCCTTTCCTATTCCCAATGTGGGATTGACGCTCGTTACCCAGATAAGCACACAGTCCTGTTCGCTTCGGATGAAGGTGCGTGTCCAAGGGAGGATGGGATTGGCGTCACGACAGCCCGTTTTTTCATTTTTCTGAAGCTACAAGACCATCACATCGTTCGTATGGGCCGTCTTCCAAATTGTTTTCGCTTACACGCTTCAATAACTGGTAGAAAAGGGACTGGAGGCGCGCCAAACCCAGCCCCTGACGCGCCCCATCGGGAGCGTGCAGCGAGCAAGGCTGTACGTAAAACGGGACCGAAGCAATTTAACAAAGGGCTATGGGAGAATTCATTTTATCACACAGTTCACTATTTCACTCGGATGGCCATAAATTTCCCAGATTGGCAACCATCGTGTAGATCTTTGAAGACGGCGCTCCCGTTCTCTCTGAAGTTGGCGTACGGTATCTCGTACAATGATTGAAATCCCATCTGAAAAGAGAGAGCTGATGGTAGTCTCTTCCGACTCCGAACTGGAAATTATAAAAGAGTGTTCCTCTTTGAAGTCGAGATTTTTTAGTGGGTAGAAAAGGACAAAAAAAGTACTGCAGTTTTGTTCCACTTTGGAACTTGATCTATGCCTGTACACAGGAGAGCCATCTTTAGCGCTTTGGCGGCCTTTTTAGCGAGGGCTAACGTTTCACTTGCCATTAAAGGCAGCGCCCGCGTTCATTTGATGTTCCTACGCCCTCCTTAGATATCGTAGCTTTGTCGACAAGGGTGGAGGATGTACTAATTTCGCAGCTCAAAAATACGAGAGGATGGCGCCACCCGCTTGTGAAGAGGATGCCGCCCCGCCCACCTGGCTGCCATAACTTTGGCTTAGCCTTTAAAGGCTGAGCCCGCTTTCAAGAATAATGAGTTATGGAGCTCATATAATACGTGATCCAGTAGTGAAGAAAAAAGCAGAAAAAAAAATCATGGAGAAATGCCCTATAAAGAACCCTATGCTGGCCAGGTGGGGGGGTGGAGGGCGCCACTCATTCACTTAGCGAACGGGCAGTACATGCGCTCCTCATAGGGGGCTATCGTAATCCGAGAGGGCGGAACATCAAATGAACGCGGGCGCTGCTTCAGAGGCACAGTTCGACGCTGATCGTTAGGGTGGTGTGGGTCCACCGCCTGCGCTTTTCTTATTGCTGCGTGTGACCTTCCTAGACGGCGCTAAAAGCAGAAAGTGCATTAGCGAGAATGCCGCAAGTGTTGACTGTCTCCGCGCTACGTTGGCTCAGACAACGGCATCAATTTTTAGGCCCTGCGCCTGTGTGCGTGTTCGCGAAAATCTATTCAGTCGTTTTAGCTTCTGCACTTCGAAAAGAGATTCTGTTCCAGTTTTTGCCGTGCTCTGAGTTTCCCCAATCCTCTGGCCCCACCCTTTTAGAAAAAAAAATCAAGGTTGATATTCCTCTATACCAACTTCGTGCGCAGGTTCAAACTTAACGCCACTTGCTGTTAAGCTGCAATTCGGTGATCATTCTCCTCATCATGTCTTATTCTTCAAAGGAATTAAAAGAGAGGCTGACAGTTACATATCAGTGGTACCAGGGCACGTTCTCCCGTTTTCCACAAAAAAAGCTGCCGCGCGCGTGGTGGACAGGGACGGGATGAGGGGGTGGGGGAGGGGGGAGTGGGTGGGGATGGAATAGCGCGTATGAAACAGGAAAGTCTCAGCAAGGTCAACAAACGAAAATATATCTCTTAAAAAAGCCTCTGTGTGCCATTGGAAGATGGAGGACCTGCTTGCCAATGTCTTGAACTTATCACCGCTTAGGCATCAATGGAGTTCGTGCACGTGTACGGCGTGGGGTCATGATGCAACCACAGCGCGAATTTACTGCGGATTGTGCGCAGGAAACTGCACGGACTTGGGAAGAGCGAACCATTTCTGTGCGCAGTGCGCGGAGAGCAAACTTACGTCATGACCTGGGGCATATTCCCATTTGTCAGTAGTTGTGCACCACATGGTTTCCACGATTCTCTATGAACACGTGCACTTGAAACGAACCCGTGCGAAAACGGCTTGAGAAGCAGCTGCCGTCGCTGCCGTTGCAACCCAATCGCAGCCTTCAGAGCGTGCTATCTCTATTGACCTTCGTGTAAGTTCCTTTCCGAGACCACGGCTGAAAAAGCTTAAAATTACTTCGGCTATTTTGGAGACAACTACAAACTGCTCATAAAAACTGCGGGCTTGAATTGGAATGAAACGGCAATCTAGACTTACCCTTTAGCTTCTCCAGACACGCATATAATGTCGATCTTCAGCACTTTGAACGAGTTTCCCAACAGTTCTCGTTGCCTTCGTTCCAAAGCACTCACGAAGATTGCAAGTTGGTTAGCCTTGTGTTCAGTATAAGGTCCTTGCGCAATTTCTGAAATCTTCCTCTATGAACGCCGGCTTTCTAGATCTGGAGGCGGTTTTTGATGAAGACACAGTCCACACTAGTGGTCTGGGCGGATTGAGGCATACCATTGTGGCTTTCTCATCGATGCGCACTTCATCTTCAAGAAAGCGCGAGATGGGCTGCGCCAATAAGAATAGACACGTCAATGCGTGCAATATTTAATCCGATCCCGCCCACACTGTAAGCGTGAACTGTGCCTTTGACATCATCGTACATTCAGACGCCTATATGCAAATGGTCCGTTTCGGTAGTCTACAAAAAGATGATCTTACAAGGGAGGTCTTTCAGGTCGCGGCGCTATCACAAAAGTGGGTTCGTTTTTGCTCTGCGCTCTTAGGGAGGTCAAAAACTGACGTGAAAATCAATTTGGCAAATAGGACGATTTGAAACAGTCTTAGCTGGCTCTGTTGTAGGGGGTTGTAACTTTGAGAGTGCAATTTATGAAGGGTGTTCTCTTACCTATTGTATCGGAAAAGAGAGCAAATAAAGTAAAAAAGAAAGTGCATGGAGAAAAGTAGTACCGAAGTTACTTCAACGACTCCCGCAACCACTGTTTCGTGGTCGATGGATGGCGGGATGGATAGTGCAGTGGGCTCTCGAGAAGGAGGTTTGTGGATCTGATCCTTCTTGGCGATAAAACTTTTGCATTTTTCGGATACTTTTTGCATTTGTCGGATTTTCATCTCTTGTTAATTCCTCGTGCGTGGATGACGTATATTACCATGGATACTGCCATTCAAGACCTCATTCTGGTACACCTCAATACTTCACCGAGTCGACACTATCTCTAACCGTAAACTAACTCCCCTTAACATGTGGCGGCGGGGATCGGGAAGATTCTACTAAGTAAACTATTGCTGGAAGTTGGGCTACCGGTGATGATCTCGATGCCGCTACTCACGAGTAGACACTCGTTTTTGACAGCACGACCGGCAACCTATCGCACGATTTTGCTTGCAAGCATAGCTTCTTGCACTGGAAATCGTTTTGTCAACTGAACGCACGCAGGGGCTGTTAAGCGCCATGCTGGCGTCAAATGGCCTCGGCGCATAAAATAAGTGTCAGAATCGTGAGCGGGGCTACCAATTACTCCTGTATAAGAGCTTCCAGCAAAAAAAAAATTTCCGGAGGTTTTGGTGATAATGGACAATGGACCGACTACTTGGTTGGCAGTGGCACTCGATGCAAGCGCACCCAGAGCGTAAGCAGTTCTACCTTAAATCTTTCTAGGTGTTCGGATATTGTGCAATGCATATACTGTCCCTTTTTAAAGAATTTGTGGTTGTTAGTTATGACACCGCGCTATATACAGTATAGAAAGGGTCCAGATACTGGAGTATGGATAACTACTTGACAGGATACTGATGCCACCAGTTGCGAACAGAGCCAACCCATCATGGCTCGAACGAGTGCGATGAGAAAAATTTTGCTGAAAGTCCCTGTAATGTAGAGGTTATCAACGAGCTCTGGATCACGCGTCTGGCCTCAATAATGGCGGCCTAGGTCATCGGCTCCAACATGTTCTGAATTCCACCCCCCCCATCTCGCTAACTGCGGTCCTTGGGATGCTGCGAGAATCATCTTGAAGAAACTACAATGCTACCTCACTGTAATAAAGTACTTTTTCAACCTCGCTCCGAGCACTTATATTGTTTTCGATGCAGTGTCGACGAAGGTCTCATTTGCTATGCATACTCGACATTAGAAATAGAAAAGAGCCTAGAAAAATGGTTCGAAATCGCTTTTCCTCAGCAAACTTTTCAACCATTTTTTTGAGCGCATAGCAAAAACGAAACCCATTTTTGTGATCCTTATATGGACCCTACAACATGCAACAAACCATTTCTGAAAAGCGCGCCACGACCTGAAAGACCTCCCTTGTTAGTAGGGATAGTATAGCAGTCGACTCCACTGTTGCTTCCGTCCCCTACCCCCTCCTACCAACTTGCATACCCCGATTGTATCGGTCCGTCAACAATACCGTCATCTTTCTGCTCGCGTTTCGAAAGTTATCACACTATGCCATGTCGCTTAGCGTTGTTTAACGGACATGCGAAATCTACATTGACGCAAGCCTATTCGAATGCCCGCGCATCTCTACTTCCATTCGCGATCGTAGTGTGGTTTGACGCTGTACAGGTCGACGCAAGCGGCTTCCTGGCATCTGAGGATAACACGGGTGCAGCAGCGGTTGCACTGAGGTAGTTAGTGGCACTTCCAGCAGTGCACCTTTGAACGGTATTTCCCCGCCACTGCAGCTGCAGGTCCATTCGCACTCAGAAAGGACCGTGCTCGAGGGTGCGTGCACCCTTCCTCTCAAATCGGTCACAGAATGGTGGAAGATTTGTTTAGCCGGATGGAAATCAATCCTGAATCGGAACCTCGCGCAGTAGGGGCGGCGCGGCGCCTTTTCTCCGGCGATGCCTTCCATGATAGGAGAAAAAGAGGATGCTTGGAAAAGTGAATCTGAGTGAGAAGAAAAGTTCGATTTCTATAGGTTTAAGAGAGGGGGTTAAAAAAACTACCCACCTTTGGCATAGTCATGACATTCAGGGTCGATATCTGGACTGTCTTCTAAGTTGTTATCGTCGTAGCTGTTCACAGAACAAAGGCATATGGCGACTAACCTGAAACACGCAAATGAATAGTAGTGACTATTTCATAGAGAGATGCCAAAGGCACAGTTCACGTTGACGGTATGGGCGGAGTCAAGTGGAACGTCGTGCATTCTTTCTTGAACGTCGATGAGGAAAACCAAATCAGCCTAACTCCCATATGATCAGCATGTACTGTACATTTTATAAAACTGCTTCAGCTGAAGGGCATTGTGTGCGGAAGTTGTATGCATCATTCTTTCAATGCTTGAGGAGGTCGGTACTTCCATAATTTCCGAAAACAAAGGAGGTAACGTAAAGTGTCGATGAATCATCACCGGCCGGATGCGCCAAACTGGGACCGCTCATATACACTCAGCTACCCATTAGTTCGTGCTTTATGCTTTGTTTCAAGAAAAAAAAGTGAGCAAATACGTCAGAACAAGAATATCAGAATGATCAGCTTGCATCAGTTTGGGTTTTGCTCATGAGGTCCATGCTGCGGTCGCGCAGTACAAGTAAGTACAAGCGACACTGCAAATGGCGTCGCATCGCCGGTATTCTCTAGCTGGTTTTTTTAGGATCACAGTTACCAATCAGCAAGTCTGAGTGCTAATTCTGGCACTCGACCCTGCAATGCCGCCTTCGTCACGCCGCCGTAACTCGTACTTCCTGACCGGCACCTGTCCCGCTGATAAATGTGAGGGAGTGAGCATTCCCAAAAGCCAACTTTTCGTGCACGATGCCTCTGACGCAAAGGTAACAAATAAGAAACCTGCCGTCCTGATGAACCAATGTGGAATACTTTTCATTGGAGTATCCTGATTGTGATAGATCGCGGAAGAATTCCGACAGTTCTTCTTCCGTAGCCTCTAAATGTAATCTTCATGCTTTAGCTGTCTGATATTAGTTCATTAACGCCGGTCAGAAGAACACGATGCAATCTCCACATGAAAGTCCTATTTGCCATTGAAAACAAGAAAAAGCGATTCGTTCGATAGCAAGATCTAAACTCACTTAATGATACAGTGATCGGCTCATTGACCCTGAACTCTGTGAACATGAACTTCTCAATCTCCTCTGCATTCTCCCGTGTGGCGGTTGAGAACTGCAACCCTGCCATCTGAAACGGTGAGGCTTTAAGTGAGGGCCTTCACGTCATGAGGAAGGACAAGTGCGATGACACGAAAAAGAATGAATGATTTCAGAGAACGATGTGCCACGGGGGGTCAGTATGTAGCGGACCCGAGCCACGCCATGTCTCCTCGATCGCGCTCTTTCACTGACAC